TCTCTCTCTCTCTCTCTCTCTCTCTCTCTCACACACACACACACACACACACACACACACACACCGTTTTGTTCGTGCCACTCAGATCAGCAGGGAGCCATCACGAAGGTATTTGGGCATGCCAGTCACAGTGCAGACGCAGAGAAGAAAGGAGGATGGGGATGCCATGTGGACATGCCAGTCACAGCGCAGACGAAGAGAAGACAGAAGATAAGAGGGTAGCTTAGGCGGGATGACGGAGAGGACGGGGGGTGCATGAGGCACCACCTTAATTCCGACAAGATGATCGCGAAAGGCTTGAAGGGTCTCATCGGGGAGCCACTGCCCTGTCCGGGTGAAGGCTTTCTCTCCCGCCAAAACTTCTTTCCAGGCGAGTTGGCGTTTCCCGCCATAAGCCTTATCCACTGCCTCGTCGAACACATTACGAGCTGCGCGCCAAATGTCGGGACCTGTACCATCTCCCTCAATGAAGGGGATAACGGGATCGGGGGGGACCTTGAGCGTGCCGTCGGGACCTTTGGAAATGGAGGACGCAGCTCGAACCCATAGATTGGGCAAGCCGGGCAGATTGCCCACCGGTCGGCGACCACCTTCAACGGACAACGACCGCTTCAGAGAGAGAGGACCACTAGACGAGCGACCGGACTTGAACGCGGAGGAGAGATAGGACAGCGACGAGAACCGAACACATGCACATTCAGTAATTGGCAACCATGGCGCTCTACTAGGCCGTGGTACACACAGCCGTGAAGACACAACCTTAGCTGCCGCCGCCACTGCCATGGTCGATACCTTCTTCTTCTTCCTACCCCTGATCTCCTCTACACCTCTCCTCTACCCTACTTCCTCCCCTCTCCTCTACCCTACTTCCTCCCCTCACAATCTCACTCGCTATGAACTGGGCGGGCGTGTCACCCGGCAAAAAAGCGCTTGTGGGTGCATGTCCCATCGGCACGTGGCGGCTTGAATGCTGCCTCGTCCCTTGTGAACAGATTACATTCTGAAAACCCGTACGTCATGAACCCTCTGCCCCCGTTGGCCCTCTGCCTGACCAGAAGCGCAGAGTCCTTAGGGAGCAGTCTATGGCCAGAATCAATCCTTAGGGATCGCCGACTACGGAGGTAAAGAGTCATTGGAGGTGCGAGGTTCCCTGGGACTCGCAGTGCCAGGGCCAGACTGTCCCACCAGTGAACTGCCACAAACTGACAACTGACACCATCCGACATATAATGGCCCTACTGTAGCATGGCCCCTGCGCAAGGGTGACACGCATAAATTTTTATTTTTTTGGGGGAAAATGACACGCATAAATCGAGAAATGGGCCGAATTTATTAGGGGAAAAAAAAAAAAAAACATATAGCCGCCCTACCTGCCAAATCGGTTGGCAAGTAGACCAGCGTTGGGGATGGAATAAACCGAAATCCTAAGCAGACTACCGGCAGGAAACGTCATCCTCTTACCCCTCTGAAACTCCTTGCCCCATGGCCCTTACCGTGCCGTAAAAGGGCCCACCTATGTCTGGCCAATTGGTCCCACTGCCATGTCGCTAAGGGCCTGATCCGACACTACTTTAGCCAAGTAATTTTGGGTGGTTTTGGGTAGCCAAGTATTTTTGGGTGGTTGTGGGTATCCCCACCTTTTTCCGCTTGAGTACGGCACCGCACTGCAGATAGGAAGCATGTGGAAACATTTGGCGTTGTGGTGGTTGTGGCACCACGCACGGATCCCTGACCATGAAAGTAGTTGGAAATTTGCGGATGTCATGGGCCCCCACCCTGCCGTGCAGAATCTTGGTCATGAAAGTAGTTGGAAGTTTTGGAAGTGCTGGACCCATACCTTGCCGCGAGAAGGAGCAGTTTTTGTGTGCATGTGTGTGTGTGTGTTTTCCATTGTCCTGGTCGGGGAGCATGCGGGAATTGCCAAAACGAACGGCGCGCCAATCGTGATGGTTGGGGAGCATGTGGGAATTGCCAAAACAAACGACGCGCCAATCGTGATAGTCGGGGAGCATGCGGGAATTGCCAAAACGAACGGCGTGCCAATCGTGAAACGGTAAAAGTTCCTATTTGCACGAGTGTGTGGGATGCAATTTTTCTTTTCCGTTCCGCTCAGTGCGGCCCCATCTTTTGCGTTACTTATCCAACTCTTACATGAATGGGCCTACTGTCGTAACTCGAAAAAACGTACGTACGTTCTATTCTACTTACCTCTGAAAAACGGGTCCTAAAAAAATATTGTTTTTTTCCCGAATAGGACGTACCACCAATTACATACGTAGGTTGTATTCGAATACAACGTGCATACATGTATTCAACTTTTTGGAAATCCCAAATTAAGAAAAAAAGTTTCGAAAAAAAAATGTTGTAGAACATTGTAATACAAACAGCTTTTGCTTAAGGGTCATGTCGAAATTCACGACCAAATTCAAGAATTTGATTTTTTCTAATCCAAAAAAACAAAAAAATAATCCAAAAATAATCCAAAAATAATCCAAAAAAATAATGGGAAATTTTATCTAGCGCCCCTACATTTTCCATTATTTTATGTCGCGCCCCTCCGACGACCGATTTACCCTGTCGCGCCCCTGCACCTAAAAATATTTTCGGCAGGCCCCTGTCGGTAATGAGCGCAATTTTCCAAGACGCCCTCCCTCAATTGGCGATCTCATTTCATTCGGCTCTTCGCCATATGCCCTCATAAGAGGCAGCCATCTTCCTGTATTGCCCATGCAGTAATGGGGCACTTGAAATTTGAATCCCAGTTGTTGTTGAAGTGCCCCCGTCACGAAGAAGCTCGTGAAGGCCAACCTCCTGGCCCACTGCTTGGAGTTTTCCCGTGTCGCCCTCTTCATTCTCGCTCGTCGTTGTTCCTCTGCTTTGAGTTCATATCATTGTCTCCCCTGCGAGTTTGTTTGTGTGTGTGTGTGTCGATAGGATGAGTAAAATCGGATGAATATACCGCTAGAACATAAAAATATGCACTGCCACACTTGTTTGTGTCTGTGTGTGTGTGAGAGAGAGAGAGAGAGGAAAAAAAAAAGAGAAAGAGAACACGTAAGTCTCCAATCTCGCGGTTGACCTCATGATACTTTCATCGATAGGATTCGTAAAATCAAACGAATCTACCACTAGAACATGGAAATATACACTACTTTTATTGTGTTCTCTCTCTCTCTCTCTCTCTCTCTCTCTCTCTCTCTCTCTCTCTCTCTCTCTC